AAACGTCTTAAATCAATTCAGAACACGGAGCCAGACACAACAACACAACTAATGACACTCACAATGAGATGCACTTCCAGAGCTGCGTCCGAAAGGGGCCAGAATGACAGGGCAAGTGCTTGAAGTGAATACAGGAGTATTTTGAGGGGTATTAATGGCAATGTGCCTTTTATTGTAATAAAATTTTTAAAAATTCAAACCGTACTTTTATCATACTTCACGTGCCTGCTAAAAAGGTAACTGTTCAGTTAGTTGGAAAAAAAAACATGAAATATATACAACTGGCAAAAAGAATGTCAATATCCATTTTGTTACATCTATATAAAATTCATACCGGTATTAAATATTTACAATGACTTTCACTGAAAAGTTGATTTACAGACGGTGTTTATTTCCTCCTTTTCTGGTCATTGAGATTTTTCTAAATTTTCAAAAAGAAATACAAGTAACTTTCATGATCAGGGCGATTTGTCAGATTTTGTGTGTTGTCCTTAGAGTTGGGCAGGACTGTAAGGGGCACTGAGCTACGCTCCTGTCTTTCTGGGGTGGCTTACGATTGTCACAGCAAGCACCAGCACGCAGCTTAGCATCCATAAAGACCTGCGTCTGCCTGAACCAAAAGAGAAACAATGTGGGAGACGTGGAGGCAACATGGGAGTACACCATGAAATGACTCAGCTCCGGAAAATGTATGCTCCAAGAAGCAGTCACCTACTTGTATCCCAGAGGAGAGAATGTAGGGTATCCAGAAGGGTGGATTTATAAATGAATCTTAGCTAAGGATTAGCGGGGCCATAGAGATAGCTCAGTGGCACAAGCACCTACCTGGCAAGCGCAAGCTCCTGAGTTTGATCCCCAATACCAAAAAAAAAAGTAAAACATACACAAAGATACAGTTGTAGGGTTAGTGTATCCAAGACTTCTTTAAAAACTATTTTTAAATGCAGCGTTTTACTGATGTTAATACTGGGGCTTGGGCTGGCCAGATAGCTCAGAGGACTAAAGCACCTGATTAGGCAGGTGCAGGGACCAGGGTTCGATCCCTGGGGTGCTGTTCTGGCCCTGGCCCTGGGGCACACTGATACAGGGACTGAGACTGGGCATGGTGGCATGCACCTGTACTCCTGGCGCTTGGAAGGCTGAAAACAGAAGGATCACTAGAAGCCCAATCTGTGTAGTGAGACCCTGTAGACCTGGTACTAAATACATTAAAATGGGGGGGGGGGTGGCAGCCAAATAGCTTAGTGGATTAAAGCACCTGCAAGCAAGCTCAGGGGCCAGGGGTTCGGTCCCTAGGCCTGCCATGCCGGTCCCGCCTCTCAGGGTGGGCAGAGACAGCAATTGAGACTAGGCGTGGTGGTGCACGCCTAATCCCAGCTCTTGGGAGGCTGTAAACAGGTACATCACTATGAGTGTGATCTAGTAGTGAGACCCTGAACACCCTGTAGACCCTTCCCTAAAATACAAAAAATTAAAACAAAATAAAATAAAATACTGGGGCTCCACACAGGCTGGAATGAAGGGTTTGAATGGTTCGGCCAGGGTCACACCGTAAGCGCCAGAGGTCAAATCCCAGTGAAAATGCCAGGTCTGGCTGTGCACGAGCAGAGCACCCAGCCTGTGCTCCTCACCCAAGCTGCAAGGGCACCGAGGCTGGCTCCGCGGGATCAGCCCCGTACCCCAGTGTCACCTGGGGCTTAAGTCAGGCTTTGTGACAGACTGCACTAGAGGATATGCACAGTTTATTTGGGCTGGGGCTCACTTTCCTCATCTGTGAAGTGAGACAAGCAGGTATCTGACGTACACTGCTGCGCTCCCACCAGCCTCGGGGACGGGATTCTGTGTGAGTGCAGATGAGCTTCGTACCCAGGACCGTCCCGTCCCTCTCAGGCTCAGGAGCTGTTTCCGAGCTGCCAGTCTCGTAACTCAGCCCCGACACCCTACTTCAGAGGCACCCAGAAACCCTGGGCCGGGGCCTTTCCAGATGTCGGTGACTGGCTGCTAATCCCAGGTCACCGCTGGGAGCCCAGTGATGGACGAGAGCACTCCAGCTGTGTCCCCGGAGACCTTTCCCAGCGAGGTGGCTTCTCTTCCCTTTTTCTTCACAGTTCTATCAAGTCAGCGCTTTGTTTTTTCCCCATGACACGAGGCTTGAATTTTCCAGGGCTAGATTTAACAAAAGGCTTTGCTAACGATCAGTGACACCGCAAGTTACAGCCACTTTCTGAGACTGTTCTTTAGAATCTTGAGCTTCATTGGGATCAGGAAAATCAGAACGTCTGCTTCAGACTTCACCGGCAGCACGTGGTGAAGACGTGGAGCATTTATAAATGAACATCCGATGATAAGCACTTGGTAATTTCATTCAAAGATGTAAAGGAAAAGATATCATTAGGGACATTTCTGTTACTTTGTCAACTGCGATTCACCAAAAAATAAAATTTCAACCTATATTCTTGACCTTCAGGGATTTACTCTAAAATCATATGGCTTTTCCTAAACAGCTGAATTATTTAGTGAGATTGAACTGTCAGAGACTGTAAAATAAAGCCCACCAAAATACCAGCCGCGCTGCCGCACTACAGCTGTTCAGGCCTCAATCTGCATATCTCATCTCTGCAGACTGAAGCCCGCAACTGAAATACAGCTCAGAAAATACTTATCACTTTCCATGCCAAATGCAGGAAGGAATTCATCCATCCCAGGCTGAAATCCAGGTACGGGGAATGACCTGCCCTGCAGGGACACTTGGCATGGCTGAGGGAGTCGATGCCGCCGTTCCCAGGCTGCCTCGCCCACTGGGGCCACCCCTCTGGGCCGTCCTCACAGATGTTCGGTCAGGTGAGGCCCAGCCAGGAGCAGTCAGGAGCACTGTGCTCACAGATAGGCCCCGTATCGGCAGCACACTGCCGAGGCAGGTGGAGCGTTCTGCAAAGGTTGAATTGATACATTTTTGACCTGAACTAAATAAGATTAAAATTCCTAGCTCTCGGGGAAGTTTTACAGGTTTCCAGCACATCTCTTTCCTCAACAGACTAGAAACAAAACCAAGAATTCAAAACAGTCATGTTGCGGACCAAGCACCTGAGGGGCTTTGTAAAGGGACCCAGGTACCTGGTATAGAGGCAGAGAATGATGAATGATGGCGGTGTGGTGGTTGCTATGGTGATGGCTGTGGCAAAGACAACAGCAGTGGGCAGAATGGGGGCGAAGAAGCTAACACCAATGAAGATGTTGTTGCTATCAATCTGATAGCAAGGATGACAATGGTGGTGAGGGTGACAGGGATGGTGGTGATTGTGGTGGTGGTGGTGATGGTGGTGGTAGTGGTGGTGATGGTGGTGGTGGTGGTGGTGGTGGTGGTGATGGTGTTGGTAGTGGTGGTGGTGGTGATGGTGGTGGTGGTGGTGGTGATGGTGTTGGTGGTGGTGGTGGTGATGGTGGTGGTGGTGATGGTGTTG